GGACCGGTCCCTTCCCAGCAGAGGCAGGCCAAACCCAATAAAACCAATTCCTGGGGTTGGTGACCTTTGATCACAGTAAAGGCAGAGGAAACTGAATTCAGAAGTGTCTGCTGAGTGATTCAGCAGATGTGTGAAACAGGCCTCTTGGCTTCCTGAGACTGCAACTCCTGGGAGCTGGGAAGAAATCCTCCGGGCCAATACTGGCCCCTCTCCCTGGGTGCCAAGCAGCCTCCAGCCACCCAGGGTTCCACTGCTGCTGGAACTCCCTCCTGGTGGTCGTACACGTTGCATCTTAGAGATGCCGGTGCCATTCGGCTTCCTACATGGCTGGTGGGGAAAGCACTTTTTTCAGGCCCAAGCCCAGGGCCCTTGGGACATCTTGGAGATGGGAGGAGGGCGCCCCCTGGCGGCCAGAATTTGGTGCCCAGGTGTGTGTGGAGGTGCATGTGTGCTCTTGGGGTACTGGAGCTGTGACCTTCCACCATCTCAGCGAGGGAGCTGCCCGGTTTCTGTTGGGCGGGAAAGCCTGACGGGTTCTGCTGGCCTCCAGGGGGTGTCTTCTGAGGTCATCTCCAACAGCAACCTGGGCCTGGCCCTGTCGAGCCCCATGATCGAGGACAGGGGTAGCCTTCTCCTGGAGTACGTGAATGGCTCGGCGTGCAGGACCAGCGACGGCCAGGAGACCACCTACACCACTCGGATCCACCTCATCTGCTCGCCCGGCAGCCTGGTACGTGGCTCCCTTCTTGGAGGGGCCTGCTTAGCCCTGGCTCTGCCGGCGGGCACTCGGCACCAGCAGGAACCAGGAACCAGGAGGGACAGGGTGGTGGCTGGTGGTGCCCTGGGGTTATGGCTCCTGAAGCCTCAGTCTTCACCACCTGCACGTCTGGGTTTGAGGGTCAGCTTAGGATTCTGCCATGCATGGGAAGATCCCCATTGCTGTACTCACTCATGTCCTGCCCATTGCCTTCCAGAATACCCATCCCATCTTTTCTCTCAATTGGGAGTGTGTGGTCACTTTCCTGTGGAACACAGAGGCTGCCTGCCCTGTCCAGATAGCCACAGACACAGACCAGGTATGGGTTCGGTGGCCGGTCCCTCACAGAACTGCACTGTCATGCGCCCTGGGAGAGCCCCAGTTCTGAACTTAGACTGTCCTCCCATGTTTCCGGGCCAATCACCAAGTCACCAGTCACTGTCCTCTCCTTGTGGACTCCAGGGGGTGGAGGTCATGCCCACCTCCAAGTCTCAGCTTACCCCTGGACTCTGGGTCCTCCCTTCCAACGTCCTCACCCCACTGGGCTCTGTGGGGCCCCCTCCCCACCCCTCAGAGAGCTCCTTGTCCAGGAGGTGAATCTGATGAGCTCCTGCATCTCGGACCTCCTGGACCATGTGAGACCCGGCCTCTGTGGGCAAACCCACTGCCATTGAGTCAATGCTGACTCATAAAGACCCCTTAGGACCGAGGTCACCTGCCTCATAGGGAGGGTCTTCGAGGCGGCAGCTTTGACCAGAGCCCCGTCTTTCTCCTGGGTTCCATCTGCCAGCTTCTTGGTTAGCGGCCCAGTGTCCACCCCACTGTGCCACCAGGGCTTGGTCTTCTCCGAGTCCACGAAGGGACTAAAACCCCTCCCTGACCATTGAGGTGGCTCCCAAGGAATTCTGCCCGAAACCCCAGCGTCCTGTGAGACAAACACACCTGCTTAAGGCACATCCGGTGACCGTGCAGGGTGTAAGGAGGCGCGTTCAGCTCACCTCACCCTGTGGCTCAGACATGACTGCCCCCCTCCCCTGGTTCTGTGCCCCACAGGCTTGCTCCATAAAGGACCCTAACAGTGGCTTTGCATTCAACCTCAACCCTCTCAACAGTTCTCAGGGCTACATGGTCACTGCTATCGGCAAGACCTTCATGGTAAGAGTTCTCCGGGGACTCCCTGCTGTTCAGAAAAGGCTGGTGCTTGTTGCCGTCGCCACAGCTGGCGGCTCTCAAGGGGGCAAAGGGAGGGGGGTCTGTGGGAATTGTCCATGCCACTGAGAAGCAGCTGTTCTGGGAAGTGAGAGGATCCAGGTTTCAGGAGAAAAACGAAGTAAAACCAGCGGCACCCCCCTCGGGGAGGGTGGCTCTGACTAGTCCTGCTCTGTGGGAACAGGGGGCCGGGGAGGGTCCTGAAGTTTGTGCATGGGGCCTGTTAGCCTTTTCCAATCAGAGGGCACCCCCCGGGCCCCCGTCTCAAGGAGTGGGTTGTGCTGTGTGTCCACAACCTCAGTCAACGTGGCGTTCTGGAATGGATGGATGGCAGGCGTATCTGAAAGGAATGCAGCATACAGGCCTGCTCTCCACGCCAAGCAAACGTAACGTTAGGCATCTGTGCCTTTCCCAAGGAAATGAGAGAGGCTGCAAAGTTATGGCTGCGTGCAGTCCCCCTGCCCTCTGTGTACGTTATTGGACGCCATAAAGTTATGTATTTGTAGATTGGGTTCACCTGTAGGGCCGTGGAGAGAGAACCCACACACACCGAGACTTAAAGGCTGTCGACAGCACTTGCTACTTGAACTTTCTGGGGTTTTTCCTCTTGCCTCATTTACTAGTTCACTTGCCCAAATGTGAGAACCTGGTGAATGCACTAACGATAACATCCCTCGTGGTAACACTGTAGTAATAACAACACGAGCGGCCAATGGGTGGCGAGGTCTTTCGTCCCGGGGGCTTGGCCTGTGGGCAGTCACGAGGTCCAGACAGAACAGCATGTGGGGTTTTGCTGTCTGACCTGCAGCTGAACGTGTGTGGGGCCATGCCCATCTGTGGGACCGTTGACGGGAAGCCAGCATCTGGCTGTGAGGCAGAGACCCAGACAGATGACCCGAAGAACCTGAAGCCGAAAAGGCTTGTGGGAGGTGAGAAGAGCCTCCAGTTGTCCACCGAAGGCTTCATCACGCTGACCTACAAGGGACTGCTCCCCCCCACCGGAGGTGAGTATGGCCGAATGGCCTGGGGCTCCGAGCTGCAGACCCACTTCCAGAGCAGGAGGAGGCTTTCTCTCTGCCTCTTCCCACAGCCCAGCGCACACGCACACACTAGACTCCATCGCCTACCTGACGGGGCTGCACTGCGCTGCTTGGGTGGTGACGCTGGCTCCGCCTCCCTCCCTCCCACAGGCACCACAGACGCCTTTGTCATCCGCTTTGTGTGTAACGACGACATCTACCCCGGAGCCCCCAGGTTCCTGCACCAGGACATCAACGCGGGGCTCGGGATCCACGACACCTACTTCGAGTTCGAGACCGCCCTGGCCTGTGTGCCTTCCCCAGTGGATTGCCAAGTCACTGGTACGCGTGGTCAAGGGGCTAGGTGGATTGCCAAGTCACTGGTACGCGTGGTCAAGGGGCTAGG